TAAAATTAGACCATAGCTGATAACCTCAAATTGTTCATCTACTCAACAAGAAAGCATCTGTCGGACTTTGTTCCTGGCTGATTTATATACTACCATTCCCGGGTATAACACACTGTTTCTTTTTCTGAGATCGGTAGCCTGAGAAATGTCGCGACCAATGGACTCGCTACCCTGATGATCCTCATTCGCGAGACTCGCGTCGGGGAAGACGTAGAATACGGTCACATCCCAAAGAATCGTGCTTTGCGACATTTCCACTCTATCTTATATATAAAGCTGAATGTCTGTTTGTCTGTCTGTCTGTCTGTCTGTCTGTATGTACGTATGTTCCAAATAGAAAATTCCATTTCTGAACCGATCCGGACCAAACTTGGCACACATACGCTACGGGTCCCGGCGGGTGTCATAGGCTACTTTTCGTCATCGATCGATATCGATTTTATCGATTTTTATCGATTTTTTGCTGAGTTCACCTACGGGGCTGGGAGTTGGCACAGGGGGGTAATCGAGCATGGGGATTCCGAATACAATATTGGTTTTCAAGATTATCGATTACTTTTATCGATTTTATCGATTTTTTTTGCAAAGTTTGAGCTAGGGGGCTGGAAGTTGGCACAGGGGGGTAATCGAGCATGGGGATTCCGAATACAATATTGGTTTTCGGGATTATCGATTACTTTTATCGATTTTATCGATTTTTTTGCAAAGTTTGAGCTAGGGGGCTGGGAGTTGGCACAGGGGGGTAATCGAGCATGATGATTACGAGTACAATATTGGTTTTCGGGATTATCGATAAAAGTAATGGACGATCTTGAAAACTAATATTGTATTCGTAATCAGCATGCTCGATTACCCCCCTGTGCAAAATCGCAGCCTCGCATGTCAAAATTTACAAAAAATCGATAAAATCAATAAAAGTAATCGATAATTCTGAAAACTAATATTGTATTCGGAATCCCCATGCTCACTTCCCCCCCCCCCTGTGCCAACTCCTAGCCCTGTAGGTGAACTCTGCAAAGAAATCGATATAAATCGGTAAAATCGACATCGATCGATAACGAAAAGTGGACTGTGACACCCGCCGGGGCCCGAAGTGTATGTGTGCCAAGTTTGGTCCGGATACAGCGGAGCCGGGTAAGCCAGCTAGTTCAGAATAAACAGCAATTGAACGCAATGATGCGCACGAATCAAAAAAGTAGAGAGAAACCACAAAATCATGAAGCAATACATCTCCCCAAGTCAAATGCAATGATTGGACGTAAATCCGCATGTTTCTGCGGTCGACATTATCGTCCACGGCTAATTTTGATTACGGTAGGTAGGAAGTGCCTTGTGCACTCTATAATTCAGTGAGCTTAATTTCCTCATCACTCTAGCCTCAAAATATCAGTTCTCCTTTCCCAGTTTCTTAGCCAAAATGCACTAAGCTTTTCCCTCTAAAAATCCACAGTGAAGTTGTCCACTCTTTCTTCGTTATTCAAGGAACTGTCCCGTCTGCAAAACCCCCTTTTCTCAAAAGCTTACTGAAGAAAGTCACAGTATCCCCCTCCCCCTTCAATGTACTTCTAATCAGTATGCTCACAGCGTCCCCTCATATTTCGTGCCAAAACCGCAGGGCCCGGCGTACGTTGGTCCGAAGGATTCTGAAAGACTAAGCCCGCCGCAGAATGCAGAAAGAATATGGTATTCGTGATTAGCACCTCAGAAAACCCCCTAGACCAAATTTCAGCCAAAACAGAACTGACTCTTCTACTTATACCCACCGTTGCCCCACCAAGTGGCGTTTTTGTGAAAAAAGAATGTAATGTTTGTGATCCCCATCGACCAAATCTCAGCCAAACTCACGACTTTGAAATTTTGGGCCGCGGACACAAGGATAGCACCGTTCGAACTTCCCCGCAAGTACTCAGATAATCGCCGGGCAGGCGGTCCGCAAACTCGCGTTTTCTTGCAGGCGGTCAGCAGAATTTTGGGGCGTGGCCAAACCTTCAGCGGGCGGCACCTCCTTTACTGTCGAATGTCTTGCTAGCGGGGCAGAATACAGAGTTTTCTGCGGGCGCTCCTCAATTAATCTATTTCAGTGAGTGCTAGCCAAACTTTCAGCAGGCGCTTGGTCTCTTTTTAAGCAGTTTCGGGCGTACGTCGAGCAAATGTGAGACTCTATGCTGCAGAGGTGTTCATCGATGGTTTAATTACTCAAGTTTGAGTTACTTTCTCTTAGCGGAAAGTACCTGAGGGCTGTGCGATTCTCCACAAAGGACCGCGAGGCCCTCAATAATTTTGCATATTCGCGGAAAGTCCGCGAGAATGCGGTCAATGCGCCGCAACTAAACTGTGGGAAAACCGCGATAGTTTTCCGAGCATTCATCTGAAAAGTGGTCAACATTCCTCCAAATTTCTGCAAGCAGGCCGCAAGAAATTAGCGAGCTATTTTTCCGGTCCCCGCTTGCTCAAAATTCGCATTGCCGCCTGCTCCCCGCGATTATCTGAGTGGTTATCAGAACCACGAAAGATATCGTTCAAGAAGCAGCAGAGCTTCTAACCGATACCTTAACTTTGAGCGCTTATAACTTACGAACCAGTAAAGATGGGTCGGAGAGAATGGTACCAATAAAAAGAAGACAACAAGCTCTTAAGCAGAAATGCTTTTACATTTTTATATTTCGTTCATTTTGGGAGCGAAATATATCCTTAAAGTGGAGGTACCTTTGAATTTTGAGACAAAGATTCTTTTTATACATAATAGGATCTGTGGAGAAATCAGCTGTTTTTTGGAGCCAGCGTTAGTGGCAAAAAGGAATTCCTGAGTGGGGAATCGAACCCGAGTCTTCCAGCTGAGAGTCGCACCCCTTAGCCACTAGACCATGGAGACTACATTGCATCTGCAGTTTATGCGCGCCAATCGCCTTTTTATCAAACACAAGAGGGAATGGGGTACGATATTCGGTCTCACGCAACGAATTTAAAGGCCGGTGCAAAATGTGCTAATCAATACGTTGCTATTTTTCTGTTATAGAATGATACCATAGCGCTGGAAAGAGCATTCTAATGAGTGGAAACTGGGACATAGATTTTGAATAGGATTTATTTGCAATGAAAGAAATCCGCAAGTAAGAAACCCCAATATTTTCATTGTGCGCGACTATGAGAAGATTTGTTTTTTTTGGCCAAAGATTTTTGAAATGGCAGATCACAATTTTTATTGATAGTCGCTAAGTAGGAAAAACATGTCTGTATCCGAATACCAAATTGCTACTCACTGTCAGGTTCAAGGGGTGTACGGACCCTTGCCTGAGCGTAGCGGGTGCGAGGTAAGTACATTAGAGTTATTATAAATATATATTAAGATTAATTAAATATGGGTGATACATATGGGAGGGGGGATGGGGAAGTGGGGCGAGCCCGTCGGCTCCGGTGCTCCCACACTCACTGAGCCTCAGGCGACGGCTCTGCCCTCCAGCTAGCAGCTGTTGCCGGGCTGGGTTCCGACATCTCCATTTCCAATTTAAGCTCGTCCTCGAGCTTATAGATAGCGGCGAACGTGGTGATGAGGCTGTTGATTTTGCATCTTCGAAGGCTCCATTTCGCGGAAGAATAGGTGAACTGCATAGACAGTCATGACCTATTCTTCATCGTTGGCGGCCATCAGTCTTATCAGTCATTATCACAACATCCCCAAATCCATTAAAGCAAGAAAACGAAGCTTCGAAAATCGTGGAAATGAGCTTTCGGAATTTTGGACATGTTGAGGCATAACTGTCCCTTACTAATTATTTACGGTTGTCGATTTTTTGATAGAAATTTTTTTGAATTACTCAGTTATCCACAAATTATCATGAATAAAGAACAACTAGGAACGTTTTCATAAATTATTTTTAGCCAACCTAATACTTTACTTGATACATTCCAAAAATTCAAAATCACGGTTTTTGCTCAAAGTCCGCTCATGAGAGTTAATCGACTTGTGATATCATTTATCGAACATCATCTCGATACTTCAGGAGAGCGCATTTTGGTGGTCCGTTAGTAAGATAAGTTCATCCACGAAATGCAGAGTATTTTTGCCAAGGGAGTGATTTGGGGTAGATTACGAAATTGATGTTAAAGGCAGCGTTCGGGCAAGATTTCGGATGGAGTTTTTTCGCTTACCTGGGCTTATCCTTCCCGCTGATTCCGAAAATGCAGCTCGGAGAGCACGAAAACGTCGAAAACGGGCTTTTCCAGAAGCTCTTAATTTGAATTTTGTCGCCTGCCGCCAAGGTTAAGACGCAGAGTCTTTGTGGGACCCTACGTCTTGACTGTGTGCGGTATGCACACTTTGCAGAGTGTGCATACCATGGCTTATCGAACTAACTCGTCCCCGGTCGCCGGGGCGTGCTGGTCGTCACTTCTGAAGCGGTTTTCTCGCTTCAGAAGCATTGGTGCATGCCACTTGGGCAAGAGCCTTATCAGGGCATCCCTGTACCCTCATTTTCGTTTTTGCCCGGATGCTGCCTTCAATTTTGCAAGGTAGGATTCCCTGCAGAAGCGCCTTCATGAAGCTTGGTAGATTGCCAGTTATAAATGAGCAACTTCTGCTTCTCACATCAATTTAGATCCCAAAAATCCAAAATCTAGGACTTAATATGCCAAAATAACGCGATAGTCGTGACCAGCACGTCAGATAAACCCTTCAGTCTAGAGTAGGCAGACCTTCAACTTAGATCCTCTACCCTCCAATTGGGGCATAGGGGAATGGTGATACTTGATACCATTCTCGAGCGGATGCGCGAGAGCAGACGCGTATCGTCTATCAGGAATTTGATTAAGTGATATATCATTTTTGTAATGATATGCTTAACGCGCGTCTGTTTTTGCGCAAGAAGATGTCACCCTGGCTGTATAAAAGGGTGACTGAGCTGCTTGCTTAAGCCTTTGCCGTTTTTTTCTAACTTTTTGAGATTGCTGCCTTTCTCTTGTTTGGTTTCTGTTAATGTTTGTTATTTGAGATTTGACAAAAGATGCCTGCCGTCAACGCAGTGGAGCCCACCAGAAGCAACCAAGTGAGCATTACAAATATGTCTATCGATTTTCTTTTTACCTTGAGGGTTTTTGTGGCTGTTTTTTAAATTGATTCTTAGTTTTCATAATGACAGGACTTTATCGATATGGAGAGGGACATCGCTCTTCTCCGAAGGCAAGTGGATGAGGCCAAAAGGGAAGCTAGTCCGGCTAGAAAGGGAGAGAATGAGGCCAGAAAGGCAAAAATTTTTGTTCCATATTGTTTTGGACAATTTGAAAGGTATTTTTATTCTAGCAGATCAAGGATTTGAAAACGAAGTTGGCCAACGAGACAAGGGCAACGAACACCTACTGGTCCTGTTTGAAAAGGTCGCGGCGGGACATGGGATAACGGCGATCGTGTCCAAAGCAACAACTGACATCGATGACGGCATTAAATCAGATCGCTTCTTTTTTTCTTTGTAACTTGTTGTTAAGTTGTAATAAACATTTGATGAACCAAATCTATATGATCTGTAAAAATACTCACCGGAGTTTGAATCGAGTGGCGAGCGAGGTCGAGGTTGGGGGTTGGATTAGTTCTATGCCCACACAATTTGAAACTGGTGATAGCCGTTAATTAGGTTGTGAAGTGTGAACTCACTTTCCGACGTTTATATGGACCGTTTTGTCCTCTGCTGGGGCACAACAGAACATTGTGTAGTCTTCCACAAATTGGGCATGTTACGCCACAGTCTTCATGGTGCCGCGGTTGAAGGCACCACATTTCGGTATGACCGCCGAGGCCAGACATTACGCATGTCTCTGTCTTCAGCTTAGGTAAGCTTAATTTCTGTGCCCCTCTTCACGAATTACCGTTTTTTTGCGCCCCGGTGTCGAAAAAGAAGAGCACTTTCGCGAAGTTTTCTGTGTTATGGTTCCACATCATTCCTTCGGCAGTCATGAAAACGATTTACTGCCTTTTTTGGGCGTCAACACCTGTTTTTCCTATGCCGAAATTCGTCTGATTGGCTAGATTGGTTCGCGAAGTAGTTTTGTTCATTGGACGTAGGTTATACGGGGACTTATTCTTCCAGTTCACCTGTGGGCGCTTATCTGCCTTCTTGAAAGGAGCAGAATTCTGTTTTCGAGCAGGTGGCTGTGATTTAGATTACCACTTCAGTTCTGTCTGCTTGCAAAGCATAAACCAATGTGATGTTGTCTGCCGTAAGAGGCACAGCTCGGTCGCTGTGACTCCGAACTAAAGTGTTTACTAGAAAAACATTTCCAGCATAACTGTTTTTCGATCGCTATGTTACGTCGCGCTTGGATATCTGGAATAGTTCTGCAGTTTGTTGCATAGTGAACTTCTCACAATATGCGCACAACGGACCAGTAATTGTAACCAGTGGGCTTCTTGTTTCGGGCGTTGGTTCGACTCTTTTTAATGTACTTTTATCCGTAAATTGCGCATAGGTTTTTGCTAGGAATTCTTTTTCAATTTTTTCCATTATATCCTCGATCGATACTTCCTCTTTGCCTCTGATCGCAAGCACGTTTTTTACTATCATTTCTGTCCACATGGCGTCATTGGTTTTTCGTATATCCTGACCTGCTGAAACCATTTGGTTTACCAGCATTTGAATCCGGTCGAACACGTGAGCGCAACTTTCCGCCGTTTCGCCGCTGGAGTAAGTAAGATAAGTCTATGAACTATTCTTTCTCTGTTTATCAGCTTGTTGCTATGTTTCTTTTTCAAAGCATCAATCATCCACTTATAGTTTTGTGATATCAGCTGGATGCCTTTGATCGCATTGTCCGACTTTCCTTTTGAACTGTCTTTCAAAAAGAGCATTGTTTCACTGTGCTGAGCATGGTGTTTCTATGGACTAGCGTGTCGTAAATTGCCCAGAATTCCGGGAAGTCCTCGACTCCGTAAGACTTGAGCACCTCCAGCGCGAGAGTTTTCACATTAATGCAGGTTTGTATTGTTCGGAAAAGTCTTCTTTCTCACCCGGTAGCTGTATTTTGTCGTACTCTGTTTTAATTTGAGCGACAAGGGCTTTCAGCTCATTTTTTGCAACAAATTTGCTGTACCGCTTGATTTATCAGATTATCTGCTTCGCTTTCATCATAGGCTTTTTCATCGTCTGAGGAATAAAGTGGTTTCGTATATTCCTTAAATGTGTTTATTAGCGTTTTTGGTGTCTTGGCGCTAATTGTGAGCGGATTCTTCAGCAACAACAATTACATCTTGCTTTGACAAGATGAACAGGATTTGACCTGTAGGAAAAATTCGGTGTGTTTTCTATTTCCCGGCCGATGCACCAAAATTGTGGTGGCTCAGTGGGTTTAAGACCCCCTTTTTGTGCCACTGTTAAGACTTTGGGGGATTATATGAGTTTATTCAGCAATTAGCCCGTATCTCCGGCATACGACAAAAAGTGAGAGTGAGTCCAATCTTGGCCAGCAGGAGGCTGGCCCTAATGGACACAAAACTTGCCACAAAGAGTCCATATGGCGGACTCTTTAAGGCATGCTCACAATGCAAACATTAGGATCACAAAGTGTTGAAATAAAGAGCTGAAATTTGGGCATGGGTCGTATGTTTATCGCGACATACGGTTTAAACCAATTACGGTTGCAAATGAAAGAGAAAAAAGTCATGGGGGATAAAGTCACTATTTTGGAAATTTTCTGTTTCAGAAAAATAAACACGGCTTACGGAAACAATCTAAAGCACGCCAGTCACGTTAGGTGAAGGAGTGCTCATCAATTCTAAGCACCGACTCAACGCTGCATACCGACGACAGGGTTTTCTGTCCAACGTATTGTGCAGAAAATAATATGGGAGTCATATGTTGCGAATTTACAAGAACAGAATGGTCGAATACACCGCGTACAGAAAAGTGTGTAAGAAGAATTCTTTCTAGGAAAGAGTTGTTAGAATGGGTGGGTCTTGCCTTTCGTGCTATCCGTAACTTTTGCAGCACCGTATATGGCCAGACAATTGTTGTACCCATCTTTTTTTTCTCTAAGACCTTAATCGTTAAAACTCTAAGCGATATGATAGTGCAAAGATGTGAAAGAAGTTTACTTACGTCACCGATCGCTTTAAAAGTACCACTTAGAATTTCGACCTTCATGTTTTTGCCGTTCAAGGGCCTTCTCACCCCTGATTCCGTCTATCAAGTCGGAAATCCGCGAAAACCACGAAAAATCCCGTTTTCAGAACCCGCAGAGCGACTTTATCGGAAAGGTAAGTGGTTGGCCGCGCACGGATGGGCGCACGAACGTCCCGCCCACTCAAAGGGGAGGAGCCAACGCGGCGAATCTGCGATCCGAGCGATTTTCGCAGCAATTTTCTCGCTTCAAGCAACTTTTGCAAGCGCGGGTTGGAGTATACAGTTGGGGGCCCCACTACTGTTAGGCATCAAAATCTCATCGACCCCATTCTGGGTGGACGTGCCTTTAAGCTGAAGGCAAACGTTCCCAATGTCGCTTATCTCATGTCCGGCATGTTGAATAGTTAATGGCAGTTCTTGAGTCGGTAACCGGCATTTAATCTCACATTGTTGTCCTTTACGGTCGTATTATTCGCGAAACTCACCCACAGGTTTGGACTTGCTCAATGATTTTGCTTTCGAAGCAGACGTGGCAAAACGAAGGGCCATGGATCTGGCCTCTGTTCAGATTTCAAAGCGAGACATGTATCAAATACAATCACTTGTGCGTAAATACCCTTACCTGGTTTCGAGATGTGCATAATACCACCATTAATGACTTGCTCGTCCCTGCACGCCCGTGGGGAGTGATGAAGATAAGGCTGAACTGAAAGACGGGAGTCCCATGATTTTTTGAGACTTTCCTTCCTAGATGAAGGTTTTTAGGGCCCCATTCTCCCACTACAGCTTTGCTAGGTTTTAGTCAAATTGACTCATATGTTAAAATGCCCCAGTCCACTATATCAAGCGGCTATTTTGAGGCAGCGTCCGGACTGTCCTCGACTTACATTTTGCTTTGTCTCGGCCTTTTCATGACACTGATTTCAAATATGCCACTTAGAAAGCATGATTCTCTCAGAAATTTCTTTTCGCTATTTTGTGAGAACCATGAATAGTGCCTCTGCAGCTATTCTTGTCGAAAGCAGGCATACAAGTGAACAGTGCGGTTCGATTGTGTTTGCCACATGAAAGCCAGTCAAGGATTGAGGAGTTCTTGTTTAAGGGGATTGGCGTCACATGGAAGTGGGCGGAGTTAGCAAGGCTTGGACATCTGCCGGAAAGCTACATTTAAGGATTACCCAATCGCCATTGAAATATCTTTGGGCCTTCTTCATTAAGCATAAACGCACACTACTAAAGTCGAAACATAGCCAAAAACATGCAAATAATCAAGCTTATCCTCGACGCTGCTCCTCCCGCTAGACCTGTCTCACATACTTACCGATTATGCCGAGCACCCGCCAACTATATATGCAACGCCATGTCCATCCTGGGGGCTCCCCTTTGAGTAACCGATAAGCCGGGACAATTCCGCGGGTGTCCCGGCAAGCAATCGGCGAATGCGCGATATGTGTCCAAGGATGGCCTGATACGCATGCGTAAAGCACAATAAAAATTTATCTATAGAAAACTTATCTTCAAACATCTGCTTCAACCCCTTTCACCTCGCATAAAGGTCACGATTTGAACGAAATTTGATTCTCTTTCAATGCCGCCTCTGCGAAGTTCCCAACAACCATCGAATTCCAAGATCAAACGAGACATGGAAGACCAGAAATCCGATTTCATTGCTAACCAAGAACTGAGAGCAATGACCAACACGCTTAACGCTGCGAGTAGCCCTAAACCGCGGCGTAATTCGCAGAAACGTTCCGCACGGCGTGCGATAATTTTGAAGTCCAGCAAGCCCGAGGCTCGCCCAGAGTTATCGTGTTGCCATGGCCTAGAAAGGTCAGAGCCTGCTTGACAGAATTGCATGGCGCCCTTTAAGGTCCGCTGCTTTACCGAAATAAGATGTGGGCGATGTCTGATGAGGGCCGGGGCTTGCTCACTTCAAAAACTCTGTGTTGAGGCTCGGACTTGTCGGAATAATGGAGTGTGTCCAGTAGGGCCCGGGGCTCGCCCGACTGTTTTCACTGGGCCGTGGGGTGCTACATAAAACAGGTAATGTACGCGACTTTCTTCCGAGATATCCAAGAGAGGTCGTGAAAACTGAAGTCATGCGGCATGCGCTTACACGCCAAGTGAGGTTTAAGAAAACCCCAGTATGATAACAGTGAAATTTGATAGTGAGTCAAAGCTTTACTACCCAAATGTCTGCCGATAAGTTCTATAGTCGTAGCCCACTATCATTAGGTCACCCCTGCAAACTCGTTCTTCGACAAAGGGTGCGTTTGGTGCCTTAGATTTCCAAGATCCTTGCACATAATACAGAGTCGGGGGAAAGTCCTTGAACACGGTATATTTATCGTAATCATGGAGTTAGGCAACATGTTTACATGGAAGCAAAATAATGATGATATTGAAGCAATGATAAACAGAAAATTGACCTTCCAATCCAAAGATTTTCCCTTGGCGCGAACACAACCTCGAAGACGTTTGGAAAAGCTTTCCATGGTGGTCCGGAGGTAATCTACGTTGATTTCCTCCCACGCATTCTCAAGAGCACGTTGGAGAGACTCCACAGTCCTGTGTGGAGCGCAGGCTTTGGCTAAGAACTAAACAGACTTTGCAGTCGGAGGTCATATCCGGCGAATACGGAGTAAATCCTCACGAGTAATGAAATTCTTGACGGCAGTCAATTATCCTAAAGAAATACTTCATGCCATGCTTGAACAACTTTGCTTTGTGCGCTATCCTGCTGGAAGCATCTATCACTTCCGGCAAAATGGGCATTGGTCTAGGCCAACAGTTCCTTCTAGGATGCTATCCAAATAGGTAGCAGCGTCCATCATGACGTCCTGAAGCACAAAGTCGGCGGCATCTTGCCGTCGAAAGTGTTCGCCGCTTAACCATCACGAAAGCCGGATGAAGCCTTCCTTCTGCGAGTCAACCCTTACTACTAGGTTCTTGGAGCGACTACGAGATGAGTGCGTTGTTTTGGAGACTGAAAACCTGCTACGCGATAAAATTCTCGTCGTCCGGAATGTGTATCGTCCCGTAGCGTGCCTTGAAAAAGTGTGAGCAGCCAATGGCATCGGCGCATTCGGCTCAGCTTTGTGTCTTCTAAAGAAGCATTGATTTTAGCATCCTGTAAAGCTTCAACTGAATGTTCTGTTCCACGTCGGAGATAGTCTGCCACAGATGGACAGCAGCAATGCAGCCAGCTCAATTAAGCTGCGCCGAGGATTGCGACGAAGGCGTTGACGAAAGATCTTCCGACGTTTATGAGTGTTCGCTGTAACCAAGTGCCACTCTTAGGCCAGTCTTAGGTGTTGTTCATATCCTGAAACGACGCAAGGTGAACCAGACGCTGTTCTATAAAATTACGAGAATGCGCGCACTTTGCTGGTCAGCCATCCTCTCCTCGTGCATCTCTTCGCCATCAACGCTCGCTCCTTTCGAGAAGGCATACTTCCGATAGAATAAAGTTAACAGTCCAGTTTTTGAAGGACTTGTACATAACAACATAAGAAGCAAGTATTTATATATAACTAGTTGGCAAACCCGGCTCCGCCGGGGCCTGTCAATAATATATTTGTAATCAGCATGCTCGATTCCCCCCTGTGCCAACTCCCAGCCCTGTAGCTCAAATTTTGCAAAAAATCGATAAAATCGATATCAATCGATAACGAAAAGTAGCCTATGACACGCTCCCTGCCCCTAAGTTTATGTATGCCAAGTTTGGTCCAAATCGGTTCAGAAATAAAAATTTCTATTCCGCACATACGTACATACAGACAGACGCACATTCAGCTTTATATATATAAAAATTAGCATACAACAATGGCATCAAATGTTCAAGGACTTTCCGTCATTCTTGTAAAATAGGTGCAGATTAAAGAGATTGTTTATCAAGATACAATTGGTTCCCATGTTTTCAAAACAGATGGACCTCCTTCCTGCATCTTGTATTGCAGCTGTACAAATTCTGGAAGAATTGTTTCAGAATATATGAGAAAGAAGAGTAAAGAAGAGCAACTTATGGTTAGGATTGGCGAAAAAATAGAGAACCTTTACACGTATATCAACGCAGTGTGCTGGTCTATATGCGCAGCTGCATCTACAATACTAGTAATGACCATAACGTTTGGAAGCGTTGCTTTGATGTCTTACCAAAGGTATATCACTTAATTCATTGAACAATGAGTTCTTATCCGATGAGAAACGCACGTTTTTTAGTCAACTAAAAACCAAAGACCTACAACCCATAGTGATCTCCATTTCACCCAAAATTTGGGATTTAGTGAAAAATGAAGAGTTTGTTAGCGCGGTAATGAAGTCATTCAAATTTCCAATCATCAAAAATGAGGTTCGTTATTTTATTTTATCATTACTGAATGTCATTATTGCATCCTCCCCTCCACCAGGGTCAAGCAAGGGGTGTGGCACACGAGCGCTGGTTACGACCCCCCCCCCCTGATTGCTGTCATAATAAGCCCCCCCCCTCTGAACTATATACCAAAGATAGCATTATCAGAGTTGAGAAAGAGGTCAGGCACAAGTCTTTCGAACCTCCCCCCCCCCTCCCATGAAAGCCCTCAAATGACCCCTTCCTCCTCTTAACCTCTGGACCTCAAAGTGTGACATTCTGTAGGACACCATCTTTCTCTAGAGAGTTTTCAGATTTCTGAGAGCTGTACGCCCGATTTTCTGTGACTGCACTTTACAATCACACGCAATTTGACGGCTGATTTTGATCTGGATGGGCATATTGAAAGGGCCATAACTTTCTTATGGGTAGGGCGTTCGGCTCCAAATTTCTTATGTAGCAAGAAGAAGCTATGTGCTCAATACTCATACCAGCAATGGAGCGCTTTCTGGATTTTGAAGGCAAGTTAAGGAAGGGGGTGCGGCACACCCTCTCAAAAGCTGCGGCAGCGGCAGCTTTTAAGGGAGTGTGCCGCACCCCATTAACTATATCAAAAAAACATTTATATGAATCGATAGCCTAAACCTTGTAGATTCCATAGGACTCTTTGGAGCCTGATTTGTCTTCTTAGCTATAAGTAATATTTGGTGAAAGCACAGCGATCAAAAGCGAAAAATGGGAAAAACGAGATTTTGGTTGGCTTCTAATTCCACAGTTTGCAAGTCTTCTGGAGCGGGATTCTTGAGGTGGACAAATAAGGAGTAGTGCTTTGTCTTGAGTGCAAAAACGGATAGCTAATTCAGCTTTGAAAATTAACCATGTTGGAATTTGACCATTTCATTTAGGTAGCCTAGTATCTTGAATCTTCAGAATTCGCTCACACTTTGTCTACAGGGGTTAATTGACATGCTTATTATGGATATGATATGAATATCATGTTATCACTATTATCAGATTACCCAACTACGACCCCCTCCTCTTTTGACTCCTCAATACGACCCCCCAGGTGTGGCGTGCCGCACCCCACGCTTGACCCTGCCCTCCACCTTTCCCACACCATCCCTCCCCCCACCCCCTCACCCGAAAAATGAGTCATTTTTATAAAAATGTATACATGAGCGACTGTGAGTAACACCCAGTGAACAGTGAGTGAAACAGAGTGACAAGGCCAAAATTTTCATTTGTACAGAATGTCCCAAAAAGATGTGCACACTGTTTGATCATTAATAACTCTCTTGCTTTCATGTTTTTTGCCGAGCTTGAGGTCCCATTTTGTAGAGCGAGGATAAACTTAGATTTACAGTATGGAGCGAACCACCAATCGCTCTTAGTTACTGTAGGATCACGGTATGAACTTTCAGCATATAGCGTCACTGTGAAATAAGCCATTTGATGAAATAATTCCGAAAAAATCTAAAAATTTGTGTAGCAAGGTTTTCAGGCGTGCTGACTTCACTACAAAACTTTCCACCAGTTTTTCGAGCTTTCTTGATGGTGTATTCACATTTCCGACAATCATTGGAAAATCAGTTGTTACCCTAAATCTGGAATAACTCATGAAAGAAACAGTGTATTGACGTGCAATTTTCATATTTAGAATCAGCAACTTCAATTGACCCAGTTCAAGAGTTTCTGGCTTGTTTGGCTTTCTTTCTGAAGCAAAATACCGCTTTTAATGGCTCAAAATCCTCCTCGAAGTTCCTACCGTAATCCTACAGTAATGAAGAGCTGCTGATAAGTCGCTCCATACTGTAAATCTAAGTTGAACCTCGCTCTAAAGAATGGCACCTAAAGCTCGGAAAAAGACATGAAAGCAAGAGAGTTATTAACAATCAAACAGTGTGCACATCTTTTTGGGACACCCTGTATAATTTTTTAAAATCAATATCATAGAAATTCATGTGAAAATTGTTTGATATCGCTGTTTCCGCGGCTCGCAAGAAATTTTACAGGAGGGTAAACTGGTATACCGCATTTGGGATACAGTGATAGATAAAGTGTCGTTAAATGGGTCCGAATTTTCATTTCCAGACATGCGTGATGGTATACATTTACGAGTAAGTGCAATTAAATACATTAGAAAATGAAAATTCTTTGCAACTTGGTAATTCAGGCAGAGAATATGCAGTTTCACTTGAGCACTAAGGCTGAGTTAGAATTATGGGAAGAGATATTCATATGGATCCAATTAGCTAAAAGGAAAGGTGAAATTGGGTAAGCCCAGCCTGATAAGTGTGTTGTGGAAGGCGACAACTTATTTCCCGAAAATTAAAAAACAACAACAAAAAAAAGCTCCCGCCCATTTTCCGTGCCAGGACCAAGATGCTAAGGTCTTGACCGATGCAGATCCTCGCACGATGTGGTGACACGATGGCCCTGAAGTGGGCGGAGCTAACAATTGCTTACTTTTGACACACACTGTCTCCTTCCGTATGCTACCTTCCGATCTCTACAGGCCAAGGTAATGAAATTATTCTCAGAGCGAAGTTGGAAAATGTCAGCCTTGACATCAAGCTTGCATGGAACGACTTTAAATTTGCACCAAATATCACGATGAAGTGCAATGCGAACGTTGAATTTTCTCCAGATATGGAAGGAATGGATGATTACAAACAGCAGGCTGATAGTATTATCACAGCAAAAATCAATGAAGAAGTACCTCAAATGGTAAAAGCTATCATTGCATTATTCTGTAGCTATACAGTAAAAGCAATTAATTTGCAGCTGACTAACATGATAAATGAGAAGATCAATCCGTACTTGCAAAAGCTCAAAAAATTGATGAGAAAATATGGAATTTACAATATATACAATGTTAGCTTGGAGACTGAACAAGATTCGATCTGTGTGAAAATGAAACGAAAAGAGTAAAGTCAAATTTCTTTCGCAGCCATCGAGTAAGCTTCGGTATTCAGTGGAAAAGGAAAAATGCCGATAGTTCAAAATCTGAATAAGATGTTATCTGTATACGGAAACTTGGCAAGTGCAACAGTGCCAGCGTCAAACGTTATCGCAGATTTTGCAACAAAGAATTTGGAAGAAATAATGCAAGTTTTCATTGATAGATATCTTGATAGATTTGGTCAACACTGCTGTCAAAAGACTGTAGCCCAATCGAATTGCGTACAGAGTTGTTGTCAGCCGGCGTCGTGCCAACACCGTTAGCACCTATCGATCGATCTCTGTAGGTACAACTCCGGCACAACACTGGCACAGCGTCGGTTCTGCACTGACACACTGGAACGCGGGCAATTCCGAACGCGGTTCACAATTAATGACAACGAAGGCTTTTTTGCATGTTATACTGTGCATATAACTGCCGTTCTTGAAGATATTGCCTTGCTTACAAAACTTGTGCGCCTAATTTGGCCATGATTTTTATGTAACAGACTAATGCGCAACAGTATCACTCTACCTAGTGCCTGCCTTTACTCTGTCTCGAGTTTTATGACATTTGAATAGTGCTTTAATCGCAAGTTGGCCTACGGTGGACCAAATGAGCTTGTTCAAGATATTTTGTTGAGCTTTGCGCCTTACAGGGGAGACGAAGAAATTGCAAATCTTCAGCAGAGTCCAGTTGAAGAATACAGAATACAACCGAGGTAATATCAGTAACATCACTTCCTTTCCATATTTCTCAGAAATCTTCAAAGTATTTCATTCAGCAAACCTTCACATTTCATTGTTTGGATACAAAATTTGAATGCGAACGGTTTTTGTGTGAATATTCTACGGACATAAATGTAAATTTATCTTCACAGGGAGCAAAAAGCGATTTCAAGAGTTGCATACCAATGTGGCCTACATCATATGCAGTGAGACTCGGAACAATATCCTTAATCTTATTATGTGTAATCCGTGTATTTGTTTGAGGAATATTATAGATATCAGTAACGAGAACAGATTTCATTTGAAAAAATGCCTTGTATATTACTTGTGACGATAACATAAACATTAATAATTTGTCACAACTTTTCAGCAAATCCAACACCGCATGCAATACAGGTCTTGATATGATATCAAGTTGACCTTGATTATTTCAAAATTATTTCAGCTTGGTTAACTTGTACTTATTTTTGTGTACAAACCTCAGCGCTTATTCCAACTGAATGCTAAGAAACTGCCTCTTTCCAAAGTAGCGAACCGTTCATAGGATAAAACCATTCCTTATTTTGGGTTATTTTTGAAAAAAATTATAGGTAGACTAAAGTATGATAAAATAATTTCTCCGACGGCCAGCCCACATTTTCGTACTATTATTGATTATTTTAAAATTATCTCTATTATCTAAAATTAAAATTATCAAAAATTCATTATCTCTCTATGACAACTAAATGAGCTTCTAAGCTCCTCAGATTGAGCTAGGGATGCCACTTTGAAGGTTCTGACAATAACCAAACAATTCAGCAGGTAAAGGGCCGGGCGTACTCCACGCGGTTTCAATCGCGACGTTTGGCAATTCGCCAGAAGTCTTCAGATCCAACACTAACATGCATAGTATGTATAACATACGTGGATTGATAAAATTTCCTATCTTCTGTACGTTTGAAATGTGCTTACAGTTATGGACACTTGGAGTACTGCCAAATCGCGACGCAACTGAAATCGCGACTCACAAAAAATATTACAAATCGCACCCAAAAATTACCTGCCTCATTAGTGATTTGATTCAATTCTTATAGATTTAGGATATAAGTGCATTTCTATCAGAAATACCACTCCTGAAATTTGCAATATTACTCTGCTGCTCGATTTTCGTACAACTCTAGTAACTTTGAAATCAAATTTTGATTTTGATGCTCTATAGCTGATATTTCCCAGAATCTAAAAAATCGAAGGAGTTGGACGTAGATTAACAGGCACTGATGACATGAGTTATTCGCGTACCACATTCACATACAAATATTGTGAAAAAATTCCATTGCAACTTTATTTAAATTTCAATCTACATTGCAGATCATCTTACAGAGCCGCAAATCAATAATTCACATTTCATATGACACATTTGCAAAACAATAAACAACACACATTCCAACAGTTGCAAATCAACTACAAAGAACATCGTTGAATCTCACTTTGCAAAATTTCTTTGTTTGCTATAGATCACCTAGCAGTTGCTGAAATCATTTTTCGTAGCAACTGCCAGAATAATTTTCAGTTTCTAGTCAATTTTACCTTGCACTTACCATCACAATTACAATGAGGCATTTCAATAATCTTGATTCATTTTCAAAAATTTCAAATCACTAAAACAGAATTTTCCGCTTTTTTACTAGGTGTGACCAATATTACCTTGATTCATCCAGTTACGATGCTTTTAATTTAAAATCAAGACAATTACGCTATTCTTATCCGGACTTACCAGTAGAGTTACAGGTCACTTCAAAAATTGCAATTACACATTTTCTTACGATTTTACTACGGCAGAATCTAACATAATAAATTTCAATCTGATTACCTATTTTTCTATGACTTTCTTTACATTCCCTTTGCAGAATCGTGGATTTCGTAAATTACAGCCTTTCAAAGTTGCTAGTATTACAAGTTACCATATTTCACATGAGTTGTCGTACTTCAGCACTGAGATCAATTCGCTTGGCTCTGCAATTTCGAGTGTCTGTCCGTCTTCTCCATGCGCTTCAGACGATGCGAGATATCGTGAAGTTGATTCTGAATGAACTTAATGCAATAAGCATCGAAGTTCTAACCGAATCAATAAGCTGATAATCTAAGCCAGTTGCTATTTGAACATTCCAAACTCTACCAAAAAATAAAAATAAGCTGGCTTAATATCAACTGTTTGTTCTTTTGCACAAGTAGAGAAATATGAGACGTCTATATTGTGCAAGATTCTAAAAAGCGACAACTAACCATAGGAAAAAAGGCTCCCAAATAAACTAATAAGTTGCTCATACCTTTACATAGTCCAATGCCTCGTCAAGTGTACGCAAGCGTTCCAGTGTCTCATCAAACTGTTCTTTGACTTCAGTCAGAATCCAAGCGTAGTATTCCAGCTGTTGAGGAGTAATCTGGGCAAAATAATCCTCCATTTGGCTTGACTTTCACGAGATAGAGGAACTTTGTTCTTTTCCACGTCGAAGGACTCTAAACGATTAAGAACATTTTTGTAATGGCGAGTGAACATACACTGCTAGCTAAGAACTGTCAAGAAAATGCCGTAAGGAAAGACCTTTCAACTAGGAAGCTAGAAATCAAGTACTTGAAACTTACAAAGACGTGCAGCTGCAGAAACGGAAAGAAACAGTGAACCACTGTTTTGATCAAGTACAGAACGAAAAGCGCTGCACTATGCTTCCACCCTCTTTGTGTTGTTAGATCTGTGAAAAGATAAACACTTTACAAATGGCGTGTGAACATTCGTGATTAGTAAAAGATGTCGAGAAAATGCCTTGAGGGAGTAAAGTTTTGTTGTCTTCTACACAAAGAGTCCAAATACAGTTGCAGCGGTAGAATTTGTCCAAAATTGCGGGATTGTCGGGATTCGCGGGATTCGCGACTTCATGGGATTCGCGGGATTCGCGGGGTTTAGCTATAACTACTTTTAAAACCATTTTATTTGCAATCTCAGCTTGATGAGACGAATCGTTTGATATACAGTATGTCCGTAATTCGTGGCGACGGGGTGGACTTACAATAATACCTTGTTGTTTTCTATGTTAAGGCTGTTGTGAACATCTGTCACAGTGTAAATCGCGAATAGCAGGTTCTGGTACGAAGTTTTCATTATCCAAAACTATCGCGAGAGAATAAGCCGTTTTTATTCACGCGTATCACTGATAAAAGCATTTTATCATTTATCACTGGTAATATCGTAGGAAAGAACCAAAGAAAACACTGTTCAATTTTTTATACCGCTATCTCTCAAAACAAGTAAGCTACGGGTTCTTCCGGTTCTACTGCTCGGTGCAATTGGTAGATCACAAACTCAAATATTTTTGTTAGAATGCAAGAGAATTCTGATAGAAAGAATCATACGAGTTTTATCGCTCCGTATTCATGCTATGTAAACTATAGCCTTTTCCTTACATCTCTTCTATTACAAATCCGGTGCCGTTCCGTTGGCAGATCCCTCGCTGCAATCATCGGTTGCTTACTCATAGTTATATATATGCCACTGCAGCGCATTTCTGCTGAAATCTCACTTTTGCCCATAACTCGCTTCGGGCTGGAGCTTGGAAGTTGAGATTTGGTACATGTGTGAAAGATGAATGGTGGAACTCTCTCCAAAGATTTGAAAGATTTTTATCCATTCTTACCATTGATGTGGCGATTTTATGATTTTTCGCTTATAAAGTCACAAATTTGTATAATTTTTGAACGAGTGCAAGGGAACTATCATAAAAACGTCATGGGAGTTTTAGCTCCGTCCATTATGATGAGTACCGTCCTTTTCTTACAGACTTTTCTATTGCAAGTTCGCTGCAGTGCCTTTGCAGATCCCTCGCTGCAACCATCATTGATTTCTCACTCATCGCTGCATGCCACTGGAACGCTTTTTTCCCCTAAACTCTCATTTCCATAACTCGCTTCGGGCTGGAGCTTGGAAGTTGAGACTTGGTACATGTGTGAAAGATAAATAGTGGAACTCTTCTCAAGAATTTGAAAGATTTTTATCCATTCTTACCATTGGTGTGGTGATTTTATGACTTTTCGCCTACGAAATCACAATTGTACAATGTGGAATGAAATGTGGAATGTGGAATTTCTATTAGGTTGTCAGATAATTTCTGTTACACTTTTTATTTTAATTCTTAAAAATCTCGTAAGCTTTGGAAAGATATCATGTTCACAGTGTATGGGCAGGGTCAAAAGGCCTATACAAAGGTATCGTCGCATCCGCGATCCGTGCG